GTATACTTAAAAAGTTATGTGTTTGGTTGTATGCATACACTAAGCATTCATGTCAAAACTGAAGTGTACTTCTGGCTTAAGACATAAATAAACATAAGCACCACAGCACTACGCATTTCATATTTTTGAATATGAGAAAGTAGTCCGTTTACATTGACAATATTTACTTATTTGATGGCTTATTTCTGATCTATGCCACCCCTTTCAATTGGATTGAAATAAAAATTTGATCTAGCTCTGTCAGATTTCTGAGTCTGACTTTTCAGAATCAGAATCAGAATGAGCTTTATTGCCAGGTGTGTTTACACATACGAGGAACTGTTCTGTTCAGTTGCGCTATTAATCTGATTATTATTTTGCATTTGGGAGATATAAAATCACAATTGTGTATACTCGGAAACAGAAATGAGAAAAATATCGAAAAGCTTTAGCACTTAAGCTTTAAACCAACAGCTTATGATTTTTAGTGGCCTACTGTGAAATGGTTTATAGTCACTAATTTCCATTGTTCTTAACAATGACACTCTACACTTCCTAGTGCACCCCAATGGAGCGATGTTACTTTACAATATTAATCTGCCATTGTGTTCGTTTTCAACAAGAGCAATGTCACACGTGTGATACCGCTAAGCCTTCGCCCGGTTTGTGCCGAGAGCCGTTTCTTCTCCTCCCTCCAGGAGTCACTTTCAAAGTGATCCAGAGCTTCTGAGCTCATTAAAGCTTAATCAGAAAATCTATTTTCAGGTCACTTGTAGCTCTGTCAGGAGGGTTTCCAATGAATAGAGGGCACTGTTTCTTTGCAGCCCCTCGCCAAAATGAACACGCTGGTATTATCAGACCGTCTCAAATGTGGTTGGCATACTGACAAGAAACATCAGGTTCCTCTCTGCCTTAATATGCTACATCTGGTTGGTTGCAGTTATCTGTGTCACCATGTGAATATTTTATAAAAATGTCTTATTTAATCTAGCGAGGGACTGTAAAAGGTAGTGACACACATGGCTGTTACTCTTAAAATGGGACACAGTTCTTCACTGGCTAATGTTGGGCTTTGCCTTTGGGGTATTGAGAGATACACAGAGAATATTGTTCAATTGTGTTTTATTTGTAATTGCACAACACTCTTTCTTTATGAAATTTCAACTTGGGAAATAATCGCCTGTTTACATGAAAGGGACATGAAGAAAGATTCTGGAGTTTCATCCACTAATATAGACAATGTTGAAGGAGGTGGCAAATATTGTGTAAAGCATAGAAAGATTCACTGATGTTGCATAAAATGTCCTGTGTTGTATCATTTTAGCAAGCATCAGTATTGCTCCTACTTATGGTTGAGTATTACATTTGCATGTAATCAGTCCTGCACTGTGTGTGAATGATGAATGATAGCTCAGACTGTGCAGAGAAGTGTGCTATAACTTTGCTAAGCACTTGCCAGCAAATAAAACAAGTGGAAAAAATCTAGCGGTCCACTAGTATTGGTTATCCAATGCCTAATTTTGCATTACTATAAAAGCCTGCCTCTACATCCATTTTTGCAAAACTCCAATTCACTGCAGTTTCTAGCTGAAATAATAATAGTGGCAGTAAAACATCAGCAAGTTGTATTCCTTTTTACACAAATTATGATTACAAGGAGACATTATTGATTAATGAAGATTTATTTTCACATGGTTCCTTGCACAATACTATGTAATGACCTCAAAACAATTTCACTATAGTGCATCACATAACCAGCTCAATATATAAGACATATTGACATTGTAAACTTGCTATGTAGCTCACCTGGTGATAAAGAGTGCTTTGGTACTCCTAGGAGATGCACATGCAAAATCTGAGAGCAAATGCATTTTTACCTCACGTTTGCTTTTTGCTGTCGGTTAGGTTTAGTGTAGGGGGTACAAATCAATAGAGCATTACTCTTTTTTGACGCCAGTCCCCAAACATTTAATTTCCGAATTGCCACAATGCATACAACAACCAACATAATTAAACCATTAAAATTCGCATTCATCTGTTTTGGGGAAAATGTAATATGCTTTTAGCCCCACTGAATTAGAAAGTGACATGAAATGTGCAAGAGACAACATTGTATTACTTAGCAAATTTTTGATATGCACTTTTATCATGAAATTTAAGAATAGCAAGCGAGACACAAAATTGAATGAACATTCATTTCACACAATACTGCCACAGAATTCATAGCCAAAAGAAAAAACTAATTGTGAAATACTTGCCAGATCATCAGCCTGGCCAAAACATTGTCCTATCACTAAAACAAACACATCCCGGGATTGATCTCAGAATGGGGACCTAAACTACCTGTGGTTGGAAGCATAGCTTCATATCATTATGACATGTGAACTAACATAGATAATGTTCTTGTGCACAATAACATAACATGCAGTACAATCTATCTATATTTCAGTCCAATTAAAATATATATTGCACTCTATATATTTTAGCATGTCAACAATTAGCTGTGTTTTTGAAGAGTGTGCACTTCGCATGTGTGTAAATGTGTGAGGAAACCAACATGGTTTAAACGACAGGAGGTGAGACCATGTTAACCATAACTGGTTGCAGAGGGGTTTTGGGCAGAACATAACGGCCTAAAAACCTCATAGGAACCACATAACAACACACAAGCATTGACACACACACACACACACACCTTGATGCCCGGCCTAATTCAAATCTCGCTCCATCCCTGTGAACTTGTATGAACAAATACATGTCATAAGTTATCTGTAAACTGGTTGAGTCAGTGGAAAAGTAATTTGATACTGATATCAGCATGCCATTCATAGCTATTTTAAATATCATACTGGCTACTGAGACACAGAGATGGGAGTGGAGTGTGGAGAACTGTGATCACTCCTAGTCCTGAAGGCATAAAAACATCCCAACCCAGTAATATTTCCAGTAAATGGAAATGCCTCCAATTTGCCGCTACAGCGAAAACTGCACCACAGTCACCCGTCCCTGCGCTGATAATGAAGTCAGGTTGAACACACATCTCTCTCTCTCTGTAGGCAATAATGTCAGATGGTGTTTAAATAACTATGCATATCCATGTGCAGGCAATATTGCGGCTGGGTGAAAATAATGTTGGTTAGGGTGGTTTCGGTCAGCAGCTACTTCATGATTATTCTGTCTGTTAAATTACATTCACCATGCTTCATCGTAAAACTGAAAATGTGCAGATGTTGGAACAGTTTCTACCTGATCTGAAATTACTTTGTTGGTGTAACGCAATGTAGTCAAGTTTATTCATTTTTATTTATGTGAATATTACATTAGGCTACACCAGCAATACTATATATACATACAGTCAGTTAATTTAGTGAAGTTGATTTTTTATTTACCCGATAAAACATTTTTAACTCTAATAGTGTGTCTTTAAAATAAAAGTTATTCTATATACAAGTATTGGTCTACATTTGCCTCTGTACAGCTACTTAAATGTTACTTATGAGTCATTGTTCAAGCCCAATTTACATAAATTAAGACTTGAGAAACAAAGGGAACAGTTTTACACAAGGAAAATGTTGCTATCTTTACAGCAAGCCAACAGTGGGAAATGTAATTCATGCAAATGAGGGACACAGATAAAGCCTTCTTTTGTCTAACAGCATCAATCTAATGGCTAAATTTATCCACACAGTTAATACAAGGTTTTGAGACAATCGTTTTTGGATTTTTTTTCTTTCTTTTTTTCCAGCAAATGTTGTTAGGGAGCACAGGCCTGCTGCTCGTAAAACAGGTGGATTAGTGAAGATGGAGGGATATTCATGATATGATTAAGATTGGGTCTCATTAACTGTAGCAGTGCATGTGCACACACATTTGTGCATAAAACCTGTGTGAAAGTTTCCACACAGAAATTGATTTAGCAATACGTTTGCAAGTTGTAAAATTAGGTTAAGAGAATTAACCAACAAACACAAATGTAGAAATAACTTGTGGTGGCATTAGAAACATGGGTTGTGTTGAGAAAAAATGTATATGCATAAATAACAATAACTAAATGACCCCAAAAATAGGTCTTTCCAAATAACAAAAAAAAATAGTAGCTGTGACAGGTACTGCATAGAAATATAGCTGATCACGTGTAGTCAAGGCTTCTATAAAAGTGGTTTATTGTGTTTCAGCTGGTTTTGAGATTTACTCAAAGATCTTGCTATGCATGCTCTCAGGGCAAAAGCACATCATTAGAGAGCAATGCGCCTGCAGAGAGTGATGAATGGCTGTACAGAAGATGGTTTGTGCATGTATTATGCTAAGTACTAACTGTGGGCATGAGCTCCTTAATTTAAAATGAACCTAGATTTCAACAACTTTATGCATGTTAGCACCTGTTGTGCATCTGGCAAAAAAAAAGAAAAAAAACTGCATGATAACTCACTATGTGCACAGCTTGCATGTAATTATTAGAAAATTAAACCAAATGACTAGCACATGCATTCTTAGTAAGTAAGAGTTTAACCTATATCTGCAGACATTCCCCTATTAGGGCCATGTGGGAAATCATAAACGTTCTATATTAAATCTAATAATTCTCTTTTGAAATTCAAAAATGGACATCTGAACATGGCTAAAGTGTCTCGGCAGTAAATTGCAAAACTGTATCAATTTTCATAGAGATAATTCACCCACAGAACACATTTTTATACACTAATATTTAGAACTCCCATCATAGTTTTAATTGGTTTGAAACATCAAAGAGTATTTTAATAAGAGTTCATTAATTAGATAGAGATGGTCTTGTTACATTATGCGCCCTTGTCTCCCAGTTGGGCTGAACATTAGTTCATTTTGGCTGTAGAAAGCTAGCGTAAGGCTTTTGAAGAATTATTTTGATCAAATCTGTAGAGCAGTATCCCTTTAATTGTCAATCAAACAGTCTGTTTAGACATTTTTTTCACCTGACTTGTAAAACAAGTTGAGATCAATAAAATGCCTCACTGACTTTACATTCTTTGCATTTTCAGCAGGGACTGAGGAGAAAGATTGAAGCGCAGTCTCCTGGATATACATCCAAGCAGAATGGCCTCTCCTGTGGGGCGTCAGGGTCCGACTTCAAGCGCCTCCGCATGGAACCCAGCTCTTTTCGATCTGGTTGCTGTGCTTTGGCTTCAGGGCAGACTCAAAGATTGGTAGGGGATGCCACCCAAGGTAGCATCCTTCGAAGAAAGGACACGTTCATGATGCCTCATGGAATTAGCAATGATTTATTCAACACAACTCTAAGGGATATGAAGAAGGAGCCAATTGACGTTCAGACCTGTGGCCAGTCATCCACAAATCATTCAACATTGACGTTTGATTTCAAAGATGAAGTAAGTGGACAGATTGACCCAGAGCTCCAGGATTTGTTTGATGAGCTCACCAAGACCGTGCCATCACTCAATGATCTAGAGCTGGAGAAGATGCTAAAGCAAGATGATGTCTTCGGCCTGGATCTTGTTCGACCCAGTTCAGCTGGTGCGGCTCCTCCTTGTATTCACCTGGATAAACCGATCAAGACAGAGTACTCACCAGATTTTAGCCAGGCCACTGGAAGCTCTCCACAACTAAGACCAGCCTCTGCAGGACCTTCCTTCTCCATGGCCAACACAAGTTTATCCACCTCACCCATCACTTCAGGACACCATGGTCAGATACCGACTGGCGGTCCCTCTCGAGGTCTTCCAGCATGGCATGAGATGTCACATGCTGAGCAGCTAAAGCAAATGGCTGCTAACCAACAGCAGCCCAACTCTATGCTCCACAACCACCAGCAGAGTCAAGCAGGAGGGGTTAGGAACTGGTCTACTGCCTTAGGTGTCCACCAAACTCCTGGCTCTTTCAGTCAGGAGACTATTCCAGGTAATGCCTCCCTTTCTCAGCAGAGACTCAATGCTCAGAGTACTGGTCAGACCAAAGGCATGTCCAACTGCTTTCTCAAATCCAATGAATTCAACCCATCCCATCACATGGACACGAAGGTTCTCAGCACCAAGCCCCTGCTGCATTTCAGCCCTAAAGTACCACCTTCCACCATGAGCCAACAAATGCCCATCATGGCTGCTCCACCAAACAAAACAACCATGCAACAGCAGCCATCTACAGCAGGCCAGGGCATGCACTTTCAGAACTGCCAGCTGCCCATGCAGCCGTCTGCCTGCCTGCAAACAAAGCCTCTAAGTCAAAGGCCTCCACTCAATCAACATGGTGCTGGAATCACTTTCAAATTGGCACAGCAGAGACAGGTAAGACAATGTGTTTATGGTCCTTTTAACAGTTGCTGCTTGTCAAACTGCATGATGTGTTCCCAGTGAGATCTTGGGTAAAAGCCGTAAGAAACAGGGTCACATTCCCTAATCATTAGAGGTGTAATAATTCACTTGTTTCCTCGATGCATCGATTTACAAATCCTACTGATGCATGCATTTTTCTTGAAATATGGATTTTTGAATTGCAAATAATTTGTTTCAGTCAAGAATCAATAAAAAATTCTAATAGTCGTATGAGCCTATATGCGTCAGTGAAGTATTATTGAATATTTTAAAATATAACGGTCACTGACTATCACATGAGCAAATGACAGCTCTTTCACAAAAGCTTTATAGTCTTGAATCAAATGTAGACAAACCATTGATAATTCATTGCATGGCCATTACCATTGAAACAAAACACTTGCATTATGTGAACACCTTTTAAAGTGTTAGTTCACCCAAAAATGAAAATTCTGTCATTAATTACATACATGTTGTTCCAAACCCGTAAGACCTCCATTCATCTTCGGAACACAAATAAAGATATTTTTATGAAATCTTACAGATTTCTGACCCTCCATAGACAGCAAGGGTACTACCACAGTCAAGTCACAGTAACGTAGTAAGACATCGTTAAAATAGTCCATGTGACATCAGTGGTTCAACCGCAGTTTTATGAATATTTTTTGTGCTCAAAGAAAACAAAAATAGTGACTTATTCAATGATTTCCTCTCTTCTTTGACCTTTTGTTTTTCTTTTTCTAAGACAAATCAGGAGAAGCTTTTACATAATTCTACAAAATGCACTTAAAAATAGAAAATCAAATCAATATTTGAATCAAATCTCACTGTGAATCAGATTGAATCATTCTAAATGTATAAAAAACATTCCTGAACTGAATCACAAACCTGTGAACTGTGCATCAAATCTATTCGTCTACCTAAAGATTCACAACCCTACTAACGATACATACACAAATTTCTGCATAAAATTGGTGTACGGACATTTTCACATTTGCTTTAAATTTCATTCTGAATTTGGTCATCCAAATAAAACCACAAATCATATTCTCAGTGGACTCTCAGGCAAAAGCTTTATGGATCATCATACTATATGTTAGCTAAGAGTGACAAATGGTTGTCATCTGGTTGTGAAAATAAAATTGTGAAGTTTGGTGCTGTTGTTAGTGAAAGAGACCCAGTGTGTGACATTAACTGTCTTTTGTGTTAGACTGCATGATATGTCAAGTCTTGAGTCCAATAATTAGCTTTGCTACATTTTCCATTTAACACTCTATCACATTTCTGCTGTGCAGAGCAGGTTGTTCTTGACACAATGAAGTCGTAGTGTCAAAACCACACACCCTGCTTTCTTTCCATCTGTCTGCCTTTTGTGTTAGCCATTAGCAGACTGCCAACTGCTTTAATCTCAATGGCGCTGCACTTTGCTGTAGGCCTGTTTTTCCTTTTGTTTTTCACGATTGTTATTTGTGTCTAGGCGGGTGTGAGGTGCCTTGAATTTGTATATCCCCTCAAAGCAGTTCGACGGTAGCCCCGACTTGCTAGAGCATGGTGGATTAACATGCGAAACTTCTAATTTCTCCGCCTGTCACAGTCACTCGCCGTCAGGGCATAGATGCGCACAGTGGGATTTTCTAATTGGAGGTTGTTAGCTGCAAGGGACAAGTTGTGGAAAATGACAGTAATCTGCTTAGCCCAGTGCCGGAGGTTGAACAACTGATTTGTTATGATTTGTGAGCTTTAGAACATCCCCCTTTTGGGTTTCATACAAACAATATCTCTTGACTCTCTTTGTGGGAAACGATAATGAGAACCACACAAGAGGAGTCGTCTTTAGGCTCTCCAGAAGAGGGAGGGGAGCATGGAAAGACATGCTTGATTTTGACACAAAGATGTAGTTCAATCACATGAACATACAGCTCTTTTTGCAGCCATCGGTGGGAAAGTTGTTAGGGTTTTTTAAGGTATTTTTTTTCAGTGGACCTCGCTCAGTGGACCTTCACAATAGGCTAAAACTGTTTGCATGTTTGTTGTCCAATTAGTTCAGTATTGTGCTATCTCAGCTATTTGTTGCATATCAGAATTATGACTCCAGACACCTTCACATTGTTGGGGAAGCTATTCAAAAATTGTAACAACTGACAGCTACTGTATCATTGAGTAAGTATCTCCTTGTGAAAAATAAGTACACTTAATTGTGTTTATTGTGCATTTGTTGTGTACTTCAAATCTTAAAAAGTATATATATATAAAAAAAAAAATTGTGCTCGCAGTTGATGTAATATTAATGATCTAAATGGCCACTTAAGTGTACTTAAAGAGTACAATTTTAAGTAAAATTTTAAAAGTACACTTTGTGGTGTTGAATTAAATGCTTTACTTTATTTTGGCATTTTCACCTTTGTTATGATAGGACAGATCAGAGCTGACAGGAAGCAAAGTGGGAGAAAGATAGGGGGCGGGATCGGGAAAGGTCGTCAAGTCCGGATTCGAACTCAGGACACCTGTAGTGCAACAGCGGTGTAAGTAAGCGCGCTGCCCACAAGGCTATCGGCACCGACTACTTTAAAGTGTAATCGTCCTATTAAAATTATACTTATATAGTGTAGAGTAATGCTAACACAGTGGATTACTTCTATTTTTGAAGGTAATGCGCCTCAAAATCTACCTAAATATATTTATGTCTATGCAAATAATTTCACTCCAGACTAATTTGTGAATGTTATGTCGTTATAATGTTTAGCTAACATTTTAACCATGTTTGTGTGCATACGTTATTAGAGTATTTTAATTGATTGATCTCGCGCTGGCGAGATTAGTTCGTGCCGCACTGTCCGTTCAGTAGCGCTAGCAAACACGTCCTCCCTGCACTGTCGAGTCCACTCGGTCCAATGAGCCGCGCCGATGACAGGTCAGTGCGGCACAAGCTCTAACTTCGCACTGTTTCGTCCCATTTTCGGTGTGTTTGACTTCCCATATGTTTGGCTGAACTCTTGCTCTCAGTTATGTTGCTTCTACCGGCTATTATTATATACGCTATGCCCTCTTCTAAAGACATGGTAGGAATATGCAGCTCATTTACATTTAAAGTGATACACACCAAAAACAGCTCTTTTTTTTAGACACACCCTAAAAATGACATTTTCTAGATGTTATAATAAATTATATTTGGGGTAGTTTGAGCTGAAACTTCACAGACACATTCTGGGGACACCCAAGACCAATATTACATCTTGTAAAAAAAGGGGCATAATAGGTGCCCTTTAATACATTTTAAATATACTAATAATTAAGTAATTGTAACTTCTTCATTAAAAATGTATAGTTACAATTATGTTTAAATACGTGACATACAGGTTTCAAATTTTTTTTTATTCTGTAATAAGCATTCATTTTAATAGTATGCTGAAGCGTAGCTACTCCTTTTTCTAATTACACTACAATTTACAGAGCATAATTAGCATGCTACATGTAAGCTACTTCATATTTTATGGTCACGCTTTAAGGTCCAATTCTTGCTATTAACAAAACCTTAACTACAACCTTTGCCTCAATAAACTCCTAATTTGCTGCTTATTAATAGAAAGGTAGTTGTTAAGTTTTAGGTATTGGGTAGGATTAGGGATATAGAATATGGTCATGCAGAATATGTGCTTTATAAGTACTAATAAACGTGTTAATAATAGGCATGCTAATAAGCAACAAGCAACTAGTTAATAGTGAGAACTGCTCCCTATTCTAAAGTGTTACACACCACCTTGCAACTAATAAATAGTTATAAAAGGAAAGTTGTACAACTATGAGTTGTGCAGGTACTGACCACCACTGCATTCTACAGTAAATTGGTTTCATAATTAATATATTCAAATAAAAACTTGATGAAATTTCATGATTGGGTTTTGACGTGGTAGAGCTGTTTGGGATTGTAGAGATAATTCAGCATTGATGGGGTTAAATATGCTGCACTAGTGGAAATGAAGCCAGAATATCTGTTCCAACAGGGAGAAAAATAGGCAATGGACAGTCTTCCCACAGTGAACTGAATTAGTAATGGCATGGAAATAAAGGTTCCGAAATGGTCCCGTGATCCCACCGGAGCCCTCGAGAACTTTGTTCAAGCTAAATTTTCTCCCACTGGGTGCAATGCACAAAATGCATATAAAGAGACCAGATTGTGGAGTATGTTTCTTGTTTCCTTGTTCTCACAGCCTGCTGATCAGTTGTCAGCCTAAGTATGACAAACTGGGTATCTGCGATATCACAGATTGCCGAGTGGAAATCTATTTTGTTGCATGTAGAGAAAAAAATTTATTGCATGCAGTACCTGAGACAAAAAAAAACCTCAAACAAGTGTAATATATCACATTGAGAGACCTGCGTGCCCCAAAAACTTCAAGCAGCATCTGATACTTTCTGATTAAAGTGCTATTACACTGACTAGTCAGTATCTGGAGAAGTGATTCAAGTATTTCTGGCTCTGAAGTGAGACATTAGCTGTGCTCCAAAACCTAGTGAACTGCCTAGATACTCACTGCCTACATAGCAACCAACTATAAATGCATTAGACAGTAATGGAAGCTCTAAATGCCTGAATTAAAACACTCCTTACATAGGCAGCAAATGCTGTGCATCACACAAAGAGTGCTCCCTGCAGGAGACTCTACTCACAGCTGATTTAAATGAAGTGAACAGTGCAATACACTGTAAAACACACACACACACACACACACACACACAAAAACAACCCTTTTTTATAATATGAAACTCAGCTTGATTTAAGTCGGTTCAGTGTAATTTAAGTAAATTTAAGGCCCAATCCCAATTCTATTTTATACCCCTTCGCCTACCCCTTCCCCTTGTCCCTTGAAACAGAGTGTCAAGGGGTGGGTGAAAATATTCCCCTAAGAATTGGGACACCACTACTATACCGTCACACGCCATCATACGTCGTCTAGCTCATACAATACACACTGATGTGCTGGTGTGCATTAGAGCCTTTAAAGGGGACATATGATGCTGCTAAAAAATAACATTATTTTGTGTATTTGGTGTAATGAAATGTGTTTATGCGGTTTAAAGTAAAAAAACACATTATTTTCCACATACTGTACATTACTGTTTCTCCTCTATGCCTCGCCTTTCTGAAACGCATCGATTTTTACAAAGCTCATCGTTCTGAAAAGCGTGGTGTGCTCTGATTGGCCAGCTATCTAGGTACGTTGTGATTGGCCGAATACCTCAAGCGTGTGACGGAAATGTTACACCCCTTACCATACTGTGATGCCGTGTCCTGGAGCAACGAGACAAAACCAATAAAACCCATTATAAACGAGGCATTTGTTGCATCCAGTGGGGGCATAATTACTGATTATAATGACTTATACTGTCTTTTTGTGCGTTGCATCACGCCACGTAAACATAAAACCATGTCTGCATTTGTGATCGGAGAAATTACAAACAACAAGCGCTACTCTACACTGCCCAAAACTCGCGTTTGAATCATCAGTGGCAAATCCTTTAAATATGAAAACGTACTTACAGGCTGTGAGTCAGCATAAGGTCAGCATGCGTGCCGAAAGGGAAACAGGGGAACTGAATTCACCGGAACAGCCGGCATTGTAGGCTACTCTCCCAGGAAACAGTCCTCGTCCTCCGTAAAATGCGCTGCACACGTCTGAATATTTGGGTTGAACTGTTCTGGAACAGTGTTGTAAATACAACTTAACCAATGATTATTAGTCGTGTCCTCTTTTGAAAGACCAAACAAAGTAGTTTCGCTTTCACAACGAAACACACAGCGTCTCCACGACATGGCGGCGGCAACAATAGCGAGAATCAGTTGCGCCGCCTTTCTTTGCGTGAACATTTGGGTGGTGTTATGCAAATCTTCCCACATCGTGACGTAGACGCAGTAGTGGTTTTTGGCACGGGCGAACCCGGGGCGGCATTTTTTCATGATACATGGGGGGCGGCACGAGCAGTAAAAAATAAAATAAAATAGTCCTTTGCACTAACGCCGCGAAGCGGTTTTCTATTATCTATCATTTCACTGTGTGGGGAATTGGCGCCCCTGCTTGCTGAGAAGGTGCCATGTACAGAAGCTGTGTGAGAAAGGGAAAGAAGAGGCGAAACAAGCAAAAAATAAAGGTATGCAACTATGTTCTCTCTGTATGATTATTACGGTATCCATGTCATGAATGAAGGGCTAATGTTAATTGGTGGGTATAACTCTTAAGTTTGTTAGCCTTTTTGCTATGATGCTTGCTATGCTTATACAACAATAATTCGGTTTTAACTCAACAAACACGAGATCTAATTTCACCATAATATTGTGCTTTGCAACAAAACTGTTACAAGTTCAGTTATTATTTATTTCCATCAGCTGGGTTAATGTTAGGCCCTGTAATTAGCCAAGGAGTTTTCAAATCTGTGTAATTATAATTTAAATCGGACTACTTTTCAAATTGTATTTCATAAACCAACATCTCAGACGTTATGTCAAAACGTTATGGGGTTTCAAATCAAAAAATGACTTTCTGTTACAGAACAGGGCATTGATTTTCATACATGTCCACTGTAGAGGACATCAGGACTTAAATCATGTTTATCAGGCATTTTGGGAGACACAACAAGGGAATATGGAAATAAATTATGCATCAATATTCCTATGAAATATTATATATTATTATTAAAATGTTGCCAATTATTACTCCAATTATTACACTTCTTTTTTCATAAAAAAAAAGGCGCTCGAAGGGGGTCTCGCCCTGGGTGTACTTCAATGTAGAACCGCCACTGCATAGACGAGCCGTTTTAGGGGGGCGTGGATGAGTCTTAACTTTTATAAAGAATATCTCTTTGGGTTTGAGACTTTAGTCTTTGCAACTTTAGGGATCTTATCCATTCACGAACAGCTTGTAACACTCCAAAGAGAAAGGAAAACTTGAAATTGCATCATATAACCCCTTTAATTATCGTTCTATATTAATGTGCTGCTTACTGACACACACACACACACACATATACAGTATTTCGGAGATCGCACAGCTCACACATCCAGGAGCAATGAAACTTGTCAACGCTGCCCCACGACTTTTATTAATAACAGTTTAAATACTAAATCGATACATTATATTTTCCATGTTAGCAAACTTTAGCGATTTTTTGCAACCATTTCTTTGAATAACATGACTGTAAATATGAACTCACGATTGAATGTAACATAAAACAAATGATTACTTTTCATTAAAATCTTTATTAATGTCGATACTGCTTACATTTATGTGTCTTTTTGTTCGCTCGGGCAGCCATGTTGCCGCTGAAGCCGGTTTACACTGAGATAATTCATACCCCTTCGTTTGAAGTGTGGTCCCCGAAAAATCTTCGTTTGAAGGGCTATCTGGCCCTTCCCCTTCCCCTTCCCCCTACCCCTCCAACCAAAAGAGAAACGAGACAGCCTACCCCTTCACGGGTAAGGGGTAGAAATGGGATTGGGCCTAAATTGGTGGATCTTTTTCTTTTTTTTTTTTTTACAGTGTATGCAAAAAGTATAAATTTCCTTTAAAAGATTTTGAATCTCATGTTGTGTTATGGTCATTTTGAACAGAATGAATTTTCCCTTTCTGGAAAATGCTGGTGTTATAGCACTGGACTAAAACTTACCGACTATGCTCACATAAGGGTATGGGAAAAAAGCATGTTTAATGAAAACCTTAAGCAGTTTGTCATAATCATTATTTCTTTCTTCACAGTATATTAGAACACATTTTGTCTGCCAAAGGTCATGTGGTGTGACCAACATGAAAAAAAGGGAAATTATATCATATAGAGCTTGACTGTGTGTCAAGGTCAGTGCAGTAAGTCTCTTAAAATATCATTTTTTTTAATGAAAAAGCAAAGTTTAGGCTGTGAGATGGTGCAATTCTCTCACACACACACACACGCACACACACACACACACACACACACACACAGAAAAGTGATTAAAGTATTTGTACAATTGGTGGTAAAGTAATTAAATTTAAACTTAAAAAAATATATAACTATTATACTCCTATGTGATGTTAGTATCATTGTAAAAGTATTGTAGTTTTAATTATATAATTTTAGTACAGTTTTTGTACTTTTGTTGGATGTTTTTGTCATTTCGAAACTTTTTTATGGCTTTAGTTTTTTATTAAATAAAATGTTTTTAATACGTCAACATTTATTTTATTTCAAGCGACAACAAACGTTTCTATGGTTTCAGTTTCTTCAAGTTTCAATTGACTATAATAATATCCCGCATGCATACAAAGAGAACATTTCCAAGAATATGTATTGTATTTTAGCTTTTTTTTTTCTTGACCATGCTCACTCCTATTTGTCACTGCTCACTCTGTACTGTACATAAGTATTATATTATATTTTGATGCATAACTTATCCGGTACCAATTGTCCAATGTGCAATTTTTATAAGCAGTCTGACTAAATAAAGCATTAGCAACTGAATATTAACACATTGTCAGCCATTTACATTGCCACTTTTGTAACCACCTTCCTGTCCTCTTCAAAGTGTTTTCTTATTGTCACATTCCTTTTTTAAATAGTAATAGTCTCAGGAAGAGATTCATCTTTGCACGGTGAAAAGAGCTTATCAGCGGTCCGGACAGGGCTCACTCGCCCTCTCATTAATTATCAGACGTCCCAGAGCTGATCCATCAGGGAATGAGGCATCTAGAGCTCCACTAAGAGAACACTTTCTAGAGATACGGTTTCTGTTACATGCTCTCGTATTGCTTCTTCTCTGTGGTTCGACTGTGGAATTCCTCCCATGACAGAGCAGTTCTTTGAGTGTTTTCCTTTCTGGACCTCTCGAGTGGGGCTTTAGAGGGAGTTTCTCTCCTAAAGACATCTGTTCTCAAATTAATAGCCTCGCGTAACACAGTGGAGTTTCAGTCAAATCCTTTCTGCCCTGGGAAATGTTTCGTGTCAACACTGTGATTGTGTGTGTGTTTGGCCATCCAGGCTGACATGTTCTCAAACAGAGTTTGCTGAGGACAGAAGCCTACAGCCTCTGCTGTTTTGCAAGATTTGACGCTCATGCGAGATCAGGGTGCGTGAGACGTTTCTCAGGTTCAGGCTTGTTTAGAAGTATTTCACTTTACTGAAGCTATTTTGAGACGGAATTATTACTTTTAACTTTTGGTTCAGTGCAAAAGTATTTTTCTTCTACGCTCATTATAATTTATTACACTGTGTAATAGTCTTGCATTCCTACCAGAGCAACTTGGAACAAATATGATTTTCACATGTTATGCAGCAACAGAGAAATGTCTTTTGACATAGGCCTCATCTGACTCAACCACAGAAACTTTTAGAAAATTCTGTCATCATTTGCTCAGCTTCGTTTCATTCCAATCCTTATGACTTTCTTCCATAGAACATGAAAGGAAATATTAAGTTGAAGTGAATGTCCAGATGCTCTTTTGAGAATAGACCATGATTCCATGCAATGACCAGCAAAGAAGAACCATAAATGTAGGCCATATTACTAATGCTCTATATTCCATAACATATATGCATATACAGTATGTGAGCATAAATTAGACCCATGTTAGGTTTTCGGCTAAAAAATACAAAATTTTCAGTCTGTGCTTCCCTCAAACATAGTGCAGGGCTTCGAGAGGCATGTAGTACACAGTTTGGTCTGATGTGATATTTCTATCATGTTTTTTAGTTTTTTTTGTTTGGGGGGGGGGATTTGAATTAAGCATCTCATTTTGTCTTTCATGGAACAGAGTCCTACAGGTTTGAAATGTATTTTATGCATTTTACATTTCATCCAAAGCAACTTGCTTTGCATTTAATATATATATATTTTATCAGTTAATGTATTCCCTGAGAGTCAAACCCATGACCTTGGCATTGCTAGCACTATGCTGTACTGTTTGAGCTGCAGGAATGCAATTATGGAATGTCATGACGAGCAATCAATTCTGAGGTGAACTATTGTTTAATGGTTACAGAAAATTGGCAAAATTAAGAAGTTTAAAAGACATCTGGATAACATCTCCTCACAAATCTGAGTTTTTGACATGCATTTTGTTTGGCGTTTACCTGCGCTCTCTGTTTTGGAGAATACTCAGCTGTTTCAAGTAAACCGCTCGGGCAGATATGTACAGTTTTATCCGTATGATAGAACAACATAGACTTAGTAGGCATTGGATCTTTACTATCTCTAATTAGGTCTTTTATTTTGCATGTTAGGCTCATTTTGAGCACGAAGTAAGTGCTTTCTCCAAATGAATTTGTTGCAAGCATAAATGTTCTTTTGATGATTTTTTTTCATATCAGGGTATACAGGAGTGCGTGTGTGTTTGAAATATTGCGTTGTGATTGCGGAACTTCTGCAAATGTTTCAAATTGTGCACCAAAAAAGTTCTGCACTCTGTTCAAACCCTGTTACATAAGTGGCTTTCGCACCGGAGGAACCTTTCATAGTTCCTAGAACTACTGGCAGAAGTACCTGCTTTTTGGCGTGTTCGCTAGGGTTGGGTATCATTTTTTTTTTTTCGATACCGGTGCCAAATCGATACTTTTAAAACACTTCCGGTGCCTAAACAGTGCCTGAACCGATACTTATTAAAAATAAATAAATAAAAATTCCCCCAAAAAATGATGGATTAGCCATTAGAATAGAAATAGAATAGAGAGTGCAAATGTTAGAGGGTCAAGTTTTTTAATAAAAAAAAACAAGCAGATAAAATTAGAAGTAGCATTAGAATAGAGAGTGCTAGAGTTAGAGGGTCAAATGAAGATGAAAGAATCTTGTAAGATGTGCTTCCTTTACACAGAGTGCGTGTGATAGCGAAATCGAAAGTGAAAGTAAACGGCGCAAGCGCTCATTCAAAAATATTTAAATACACCACATCCTGAGAGCGGCTCCCTGATGCGCCAAAATTATATGCAATATTAGAATGTTTAAAGGAGTGGACACGAAAATTGCGGGAGCCAAACACATGATCACGGGAGCAGGCGGCAATGGTCAGAGATTCAGCGGGAGCGGGATTAAGAAAACAGCCGAAACCGAAACAGCCGAATCGGTTTAGCTTTAGGCATTTTAATTTAAGCATGTTTAGCTTAGTTAATGGAAGGCTACCTGCTGCCATCAGAGCAAGTGTAATTACTGCATTCACGCTCTCCTCGGATGCTCTCATTTCCCGAGTTGTGCTTTTAAGTCGGAATGTGAAAACAACATGGACACTCTCGTTACTACAAAGATGTGTTGGATTTGTATTATTAGAGCTTTCCGACTTGAGTTCACGTGCATTTTCTCAGTCGGGAAATTATTTTTCACGTGCGGTGCCAGTGATGATGTTTCTTACGTCCGTTTCGGAGAACCAGAGGACAAATATTTCAATCGATCGCTCAGGCATGGCACCGAAATGAGGCACCGAAATCTGCCTTCGGATTCGGTTCTAGTACATACATAGGTACCGGTGCCATATTGGTACTGGGTTTCAGTTCCCAACCCTAGTGTTCGCACCTCAGGAACTGAGAACAATTTTAGTTCTATGAACTCCGTTTGGAGGAACTAAATTAGCTCCTACTTCAGAGTAGGGTCTAAAACAGTTCTATAGGAACTACCAGTGACATAAGTGTACGCTGATTGGCCAATCGCATACAAAACACCGGCTACCCAGCATTTTTAAAAAGCCATGTAAAAATACTTACTCCATGAACTTGGAAAACAGCGATAACAGCATTTACCTGTTGTCTGCAGTGTTGTGTTCTTTTCTCAGCCTCGATATGTAACACTGCAAGTTGTCATAGGAGATCATAGATTTCGTCTCTTAGCCCAACTTTTTGCTCTTTCAGTCACGTAAATTGTGCATTTGCGTTCCATCTCCGTTATCACGAATCCCAAAACATACAACAAAAACAGCTCCAATCATGGCGTTCTTGTTGATGTTTGTAAATACTGCGAATAAAGATGCCGCTGTTGGACACTTCAAAGTTCCTGCTGCCGGTGCGAATGCAACCAGGAAAACGGCCCGAGGGAGAAATTGGTTCTCTAGGAACCACCCTGCTGGCTAGTTCCTAGAACTACGCGGTGCGAAAGCCCCTATAATACATGCAAGCAGTACAGCTTTGGGCAACACTTTATTTTTTTATCTGAGTTATATCAAAAATTGTCTTTGATCTTTCAAGCTCTATCTTTGCAGTCAGCGGGTGTTGCATTGCTTCAGTCCAAAAGAAGTTAAATAAAAAGCACCCATCCGTAAAAAAAAAGTGTCTCACACGGCTCCGGGGGGTGAACAAAGGCCTCCTGTAGCGAATCGATGCATTTTTGTAAGAAAAATATCCATATTCAAAATGTAATAATCACTTGAATCTAGCTTGCGCTCACTGTTGCAAACGGAAGCAGTTCCGGGAGAATGACGTAGGAGGTCAGCTTTGCGCATGCGCTGCTCAGAAGTGACGCACGCGGAATAAAAGATCAATGCAGAGATCAAAACAAAACAACGGTCAAGAATTAGAAGTACTAAACAAGGATTTGTAAAGAAAAATGTCAGAGGATTTCGATATAAGCCAAGAGGAGACTGGTTTTCCTTTGCTAAAGTAAGGAAACTTTGCTTCCTTTGATCCTGTAAACAAACGTTGGTTTTCACGAGACTCTCCGGCGCATGCCCCGCGCTGAACTCATACGTCATGCTCCCGGAGCTGCTTCTGTGTACAACTGCTGGCGCAAGCTAGATTAAAGTGATTATTACGTTTTGAATATGGATATTTTTCTTACAAAAAACGCATCGATTCGCTACAGGAGGCATTTGTTCACCCCTCGGAGCCGTGAGAGACACTTTTTTTTTTCATGGGCGCTTTTTATTTAACTTCTTTTGGACTGTAGCAATGCAACACCCTCTGACTGCAATGATAGAGCTTGAAAGATCAAAGACAATTTTTTATATAACTCCGACTGGATTCGTCTGAAAGAAGAAAGTCATATACACCTAGAATGCCTCGGGGGTGAGTAAAACGCAGCCTAATTTTCATTTTTGGGTGAACTAACCCTTTAAAGTGAATAGTTAGTACATGACTATCTTGAAACCGATAATTGTCTCTTTTCATTATTGATGATAATTATGCTCGGCTGTCATGCAAGTTAAAGGTGCAATAGCTGATAGTCTCTTCACATCCGGATAGCAATCATTAAGTTAAGTGGTCTAAATGTATTTCTCTGTATTTATATATTCTGTGGAAGGCGTAGGACCAAGAAATGTTTGTCCAATCAAAACTCTCGGTCCGAGCATTTTGATTGGCTTTCCTACCTGCCTGTCAACATATGTATTTGCATACCTCTGCGCACCCTGTTCGCGCAGACAGGACACGTCATCAGCGTGTTCACGCACGCAGTGCAGACAGAGCGAGAATGGCAGACAAACATCAACAAGCCGATCTTCCTTCATGGTATTGTAGTACTTTTACTAACTGTACTATAAAGTTTTCTCACTGGTGAATGACACATGAAATATAGCCCAGTGGTTCCCAATTCCAGTCCTCGCGCAAGGGAAGCAGGGGAAATCCGTTGAAGTTTACTTCACTTCGGAACATTCATTCACGGATTTGCGCTGCGCAGCGTCTTCACACATAGACTAAACTTACTAGAGAAGTGTGACATAATATACCTCTGTAAATAAATACTATTTAAATTCACGTCTCGCACACTTTAATGCCCTTTGCATGGAACAGCTCGCTTCAAACTGGAATCATGGCGGAATATCCGGTGATGTACACTTCAGGGCACTCGCGGTCGAATAGAACAAACGTCGCACATGATAAGAGATACATATGAAATGTGCAGAGCAGGAGGGCCCGAGGATTGGAATTGGGAACCACTGATGTAGCCTATTGTAATGTTGTCTCTGGTGTTCTGGTCTGTGAGCGTAAATGCGTTCAGGGGGCGTGGCCTTGGACGGCGATTGCAGGGAGGGTGGGACGTTCGCTTTCAGTGCTATCAGGCTAACGTTAGCATTTTCCAAGATCTCCTACTGCACCTTTAAGTTCTTTATGGCTAAAATAGCAGTGTATTGCAATGTAATCAGTGTTTTAGAGGAGCAACTAACATGAAATATCACAGGCTGAATAAGAGTGCATTTCAGGGAAAGTGCAAAAATCGGGATAAATGGGCCTATGAGATTATCTGTTATTGCGTGCCTCTGCCCTGTGGCTGAAGAAATCTGTCCTTTGCTGGCAGCAATTGGGTTGCGCCCCATAGGATCAGTCTCATAAAAGTGTAGCAGGGCTTGAGCGCGGCTATCAGTCACACCGTAAAACCTGTGCTACTGTATGCAAAAAAGTCCTGAGAGCCTCATTGACTAGGGTTTCTAATAAATGCATGTGAAATAAAAGTGATTTAAAACAGAAAACTGTAAGTGTTTAAACAACAGTCTGTAAGACAGTGCTTTCTAAATAATATTAGAGCAAGCATTTATTTACAGTGCATGTGTCACTACAGGCATATTAAAATGACAGGATGTTTTGACAATTTCTGACTAATTTGTTCTCCCTTAGGTACCATTACGTCCCCATTATGGATATAGCCATGGATGTGTTTTCTCTATGTGATAGAACAGTGTGGGAAAGGCTATGGAAAATCCCTATCACCATGCACAGGAAGTCACATGTGAACAGGGACTGTGTAACATCAGATTGACTGTAAACAAAGCTTGCCCTCTAGTGGACTGATCGTTCAATCACAGCAGGATGGAATGCAGTAGCTGGTGTGACATTTATTGATGTGCTATTTAAATGTGAGTTATAATAATAACACGCTTTCCATTTGTAGGGAATTTCGCCAGGACCTCGTTTACCAGCGAATGGGCATCCTGTAGATGTAACAGGCCAGACCCAACAGCAGAGGCCTCCAGTTCTCAGTTCTCAGCAGAAGAACCCAGGCCAGGACCAGAACCTTCAAAGACCGCTGGGTCAACCGCAGCTCAACATCCCTGATACAGTGAGTGCTGCCATTGCTTCTTGCCTAAATACGGTGGTTTTATTATGGTTTTCTGATAGGTAAATTAATTTTATAGCTCACAGAAAGAGAATTAGCTTTAATCTACTTAAGTGTCACACATTTGTCTCAGGGTAAGTTTATTTTTCAATAAAGTACATTTCTGTATGGGCACATACCTTAAAGTCATGGCCACAAAACTCTATTGAATCTCTTCCACTGTTCATTTAGCATTGCGTGACAAGATGCCATACATGTATGACAGATTATACAAAGTAGATTACTACCGGACCCTGCTTTGATTGATTGATTGATTAATTGATTGATATATATCATAGCGGCACCCCTGTGATTGACCACTCACATTTTGGCCATTTGTAATCTATGGAACTTTTTTTCCTAAACTACAACAATGTGCTTTTGCTGTAAATTTTTCAGGAGAAACTGAGCACACAGGATAAGTTCAGTCGTCATCTAACACGACCTCCACCAGACTACAAACAACCTCGCAATGGAGTTGGAGCTCAACAGACAAGCTTATACGCAGGTGTGGAATGTATTTTCATTGTCCTATAATATGGGAATGTAAAATCTAGTTCAGTCATGAAACTCTAGATGGCACGGACAGATAGGGCCTTCACATGCAATCTGTTCAATCACATCATTTACTACGCATGCTGAATGGCCTCTGCTGATTCTGTAGCCAATGAGATTTCTTGCTCAGCATTTAAATAGGCTGTTGCAGTGTTCACCCTAAGCTCTTCCTGCAGCACGCTATCAGAATTCCTCTAAAACCTTCCAGCTCCACCTGTCTACAGCAAGTCCATACTGGCTTAGCAGCAGCAGGATGCATAGTAGATCTAGTCTGACAAAATACATCAGGGGTTCTCAACTCTGGCCCTCAGTGTTCACTTTCCTGCAGAGTTTAGCGCCAACCTTGATCGAACTGACCTGCCAGTAACTTTCTAGTATTCCTGAAGGCCCTGATTAGCTTGTTCAGGTGTGTTTGATTAGGGTCGGAGCTAAACTCTGGAGGAAAGTGGACCCAGAGGGCCAGAGTTGAGAACCCCTGAAATACATTAACGTTAAATGCATCAACATGCTAAAACTATTCAGAGTTGTCATGATTGAACTACATTTAATGAAGTTAATGAATTATACTCACTCTGATGATGTGGTACGATTAATTGAACCTAGGTTTGGATTAAAGGGGTCATATGATGTTGCTAAAAAGAATATTATTTTGTGTAATGCAATGTGTTTACGTGGTTTAGGCTTCAGAAAACACATTATTTTCCACATACCATACATTATTGTTGCACCTCTCTGCCCTGACTATCTGAAACGATTGGCTGAATACCTCAAGGATGTGATGGAAATGTTACGCCCCTTACCATATTTGGAAACACACAGCATCTCCACGACATGGCGATGGCGGCATCTATACTACAGCGAGAATAAAAGTTACACCTTCTTTGCGTATATTGTGGGCGATGTTATGCAAATCTTCGCACACTGATGTAGATTTGTGGGGGCATGTTTGAATGAGGTGTTTTAGGAAGGTGTGGATGAGTCTTAACTTTTAGAAAAAATACCTCTTTGGGTTTGAGACTTTAATCTTTTGACTTTACGGATCTTATATATGCACGGACAGCTTGTAACATTCCAAAGGCAAAGCAAAACATGAAATCGCGTCATATGACTCCTTTAAGCAACCACACCAAATCTTGACTTCGATATGAGTCATTATCAGTACGCTACTGCTTGGTAAATCAGTATTTTACATCACAGATCATTTTTATGAATATGCAACAGGCAATGGGTCAGACCAAAGTGACATCCAACCCTTGTCATGCCACCTGCTTAATGGACAGGGTACCAAGATGGTGCCCACGTCAGTAGAGAGAAGGTTTCCACTTGGACAAGACCGTAATTCAGGACCCACAGGTGCTCAAGCTTGCGCAAACCAGCTCCGACAGCAACCCAGCAGCCTGATCCGAATAGGGCTTCAGCAAAACAAGCCTCAGTTCCATGGGACAAACAGCCAGAGTGCCACTTTTCAATCGAGCACTCAGCATGTGAGGATGAGCATCAGTCAAGATTCCCTGCTGGGGCAAAGATTGGGTGACATGATCACCAATACCAGCAGGATGGACACTGCTTTGAACTGGGCGAACAGCACCAAACAGAGCGGAGCTCCAACAGGACTAGATGTCAAAAGGCTCCCCAATACAGTGATGCCCCAAAGTGACATTCATTTTCCTCCGAGGTCTATTTGTCCACCTAACCAGGTGGCACCTCATTCTAGTCTGCTACCCATAAACCCTGCAATCAGAAGCTCTGCTCCCAGAGCCAGTCAGCCTAGGATACCCCCTCTACCTGGGGTGACTTGCCTGACACAGTCGTCCCCCGAACAGCAGGGCTGTCCGACCACATTTGGAGAGCTGAGCCAAAGCCCAGCAACTTATCAGAACAACCGGGCAGGCCGGTTGACCTTTGATTTCTTACCAGAGGATGATAACACGGTACCAGGGATAAATGCAGACTCAGATTTCATTGACTCCCTGCTCAAATCAGGTTCAGGCAATGATGACTGGATGAAAGACATCAACTTGGAGGAAATTCTAGGTGGACATTCATAAAATAGACTCAAAGCATGAGAATTTAGTTTAAACTGACTGTATTAGGAGCCTGACGTGAAAGGCCTGTTCATTTTATTATTTTATCATCCCTCTATTTGTGTGGAAAACAAATGTATATGTTCTATTATATTGTTGGGTTGATCCTTCATACCATCTACTAACATGTTGTACAGTTTAATGTTCATGGCTTCAGTGTTTTAAATCCACCACACAGTACCCCCAAATCCATACCAGTTATCATTCAAATGCTGTGAGATTTCTGTTAGAGCTTTTGTTACCAATCCGTTAGCACAGAGATTAATGTAAAATAAACTGTGATTCGACTGCCATGATAGAGCCATTGAGCATGACAGCGGCACTTAAGAAGCAGTTTTTTTTTTTACTTTGTTATACTTTGTTTGTTCTGGCTCTTATAGTTCAAGGTTCATCTTAAATGTTATAATATTGAAATGCTTTTGCATAACATAAAAGTACAGATCTGTTTTGAATATCCATTCTGAAATTATATATTAACGGGTATTAAAAAGAGCCATTTATGTATCATTTTATTACACATCCAAAAGAGAAAATATGTAAAGGGAATACACATATGTTCAGAATGTTAGATGGTAGATGTAACTGATAAGGTCGACCTTCTTTAGAAAGACGTTATAAGTTCTTATTGGTAATATTGTATTTATACATCTGTATCTCAGTATATAAAATATTTTTTCTATTTCTTTTCTATAATGCACTATAATTCTGTCTTAAAAGTGTATATCCTATTATGTCAATTTAGCCTTTGATAATAAACTACATAAAAGAAGAACCTTTACAGCACATTTTGACAATTTGTTTTCTTATATTTCAGGTCAGATGAAAGTGAAGTGCCACAAGGCTCTGTCTTAGGTCCTCTGTTGTTTTTACCTGTTTCAGAAAATCTGATCAGATCAGCAGTAATCCATCTTTTCTACATTGAACACCTGTTAGATTCCTAAACAATTGTAAAATACTGATCCTTTTAAAGTCCTTAGTATCTAAGCAATCTTCATTCAATCACACTGTAGTCCATAACTCACTAAATTCACATGATGATTTTTAATTCTGAACTATAAAAATATAAGTTTACCATCTTTTGTTTTCCCATTCTCACAAACAAACCAAATATCACAGACATGAGACCAGTCTATAAACATAAATATATATATATATATACACACAGTGGGGAAAAAAGTATTTAGTCAGCCATATGTATATATGTGTGTACACTACCAAAAAGTTAGTATGATTGACAGTATGATGAACAAAGTCCCTAAAATCCCCTTTAAAATGCTATAAACATAAACATAACTAACTATAAACATAAATGTTCATTACACAGCTGAAATGATAAAAAATGCTAAATAATTATTCCATATATTTTTTTTTTTTAGATGAAGTTATTAGGTAACACTTTACACCATGGTTCTATGTTAACATTAGTTAATGCAAAGTAACAATGAAATAACCATGAACAATAATTGTATAGTATTTATTAATCTTGGTTAATATACACTTTTTTTTATTTGTGATGCTTCATGGTATTTAGTCAAGTCAGTTAATTATGATGATATAACAAATTCAGAATGAATAATATAACTTTTGTTAATTAACATAAATCTAGACTAATAAATGCTGTAAAAAAAAAAGTTAAATTACTGAACCTTATTGTCATGTATTGCCTTTCTTTAATTAACAATACTGGCATGCAGCAGTAATTAAATTAAAATATAAAAATAAAATACTACATACATGATTTATACCAGATAGGAATCAAAGACTGCAAGGCTTTGAATAACGGTCTTGACTTAAATTGATTAAACCCTGTAACTTGAGACATCAGCTTTTTCCATCATGACTTGAGACTTGAGCGATTAAGTCTTGAGACTTGATACAAGCAATTTGAACCCATATCGGATCTAAATAGGACAAAAACAGTATGGAGGCTAAATGATATAGCACCAGAATAGACTTAGCCATCTGTGGGACATGTGGAAACCAGATTTGAATATATTTCTAACAATCGAGAAAAAGACTTAGCTTTTTTGCCATGTGTTTACATATTTTAGGTTTTCACTTTTGTTAAATGCTCAGATGCCAAAATGGTCAAATGGGCAGGTTGTGAAAGGTAATGTTATTAAGGTTCACAAGCCAAAATGAAAGTCAAAAATTAAGCCCAAATCAAAACCAATAAAATATTCTTTATTGCAGGCCAGGAGAGATATGCTTCAAATCAGGTGACCTGCTATATTCCTCTTCAGAAAAAAGGCACTGTCCCATTCCAGTCAATAACAGAACCCTCCCACTTGGTCCTAATGGTCATCTCTACAGATGGAAACTTTTTCTCTGGGTCGCCTTGAATATCATTTTTTTCAGCCTCCCAATGATGGGAGTGTGTATCTGAAATACAAAAGAGCACTACAATATATACATTTGAAATGTCTGGTTCACACGATTATAACAGGCAGGCGGCAACAGGTGTGGGCAGAAGCTAATGACTGTACCTATGGTGAGCATTGTTGTGTTAAGCTGAGTTGGTTGGCCATTGTAGAAGTAAAGGTGGAAAAGATGCTCCATCTTCCAGTCAGAGAGCAGCGAACGGTTTGGGCTGAACAAAACACTGTAGGTGCCATTGATGTTGCACACCCAGATAGGTAGCTTGGGGGTTTTCAGCATACTGCCCACCTTACGAAAAAAGGATCAACTCAACATGGATGCAATATAATAAAATTGGGGTCTATTATATGGGTTCAAAATATAATAGACTACAGTGCAGTAATACAGAAGCTAAGAAGCCAAGTGGGAGTAGATACAGCAGCACACTTTAAGTAAAGACATACAAAATGATACCAGAAAAGCATTAATTCACTCTGGGTATTAGCTTAGAACAAATCACATAAATCAACAACATGCAGAAGGGAAAAAAAACCCTGGAAATTATATCAAAGATTTTCCACAGTTGATGTTGACAATGTATGAGAACACAAGGACGCAGGATTTCTAAAGAATGCATATTAAGAAACGTCTTTATTATGCACTAAAGTGACTTCAAATTCAAGGGCTTCATTTTGAACATTAGGTTCCTCAGAGAATATGCCCGCATTCTCTCTCTCTCTCTCTCTCTTTTTAAGTGCCTAGAGATTCTCCAAATCAGTATGGCAATCTCGGGAATCACAACTGGTGGCTCAAGTATCTTGTTTTTACAGCATTTACTCATTTGTTGCCTATATTTGACCTAATAAAACATTTTCAGAGAAAGTGACAGAAAGCCCAAACCCCTGAAACCCCCAGAAAACACATAGGATGGGTGCAATACCAGGGGGAGCTGTGCGTGGTGGACTTGCTCTCTGTTCCAGAGCAGATATCCGATGTGACTGCGAGTCAGGACCCCGTGGAGAGGCTGGGCGAGTGCTTCGTCTTGCTCATCGTTCAGTGACGTACCGTTGAAGACATGAGGGGTCGCACGGCCCGTCAACAGCAGGTTTAATAAAGCCTAATGAATGCAGAGATAACTTGACACAATTAAACACTAACAAATCACATGAACAAAAATCTTTTAAAAAACCTTCCTTACCTGTCGACAAACAGAGTTCCCCAAGCTCACATGCAAAAGATGAGTGGTGGTACAGTCAAAGTCTGCCCGTATCCTACAAATTTAGAGACTTGCGTAATTCAGTCACTCATTTAAAATACTAAAATAATTTTAAAATTATTAAAATACTTTATTTATTCTTATTGCAGATCCATATTCTTTTATCAATTGACTGTAGTACAAATTAAAGCTGACTAAAATAATGAGGTAGTTCTCAGGCACTAAGAGATGTAGAGTATTAATAATTAGAAAATATTTGTTTCTAAATATACTATAGTGTTCAAAACCACACATTTTTAATGTTTGTTTGCATCTATTTGATCACAAATACAGCAGAAACAGTAGTACTACTGTATGTCTTACGATTTAATTACAATTAAATTACAAATTTAATGAACTTTTTTTCTATTTTAATATATAGTTTATTTAGTTTATTAATGTCATGGCAAAGCAGAATTAGTAAATTATACATAATCTCTCATATATATATATATATATATTTTTTTTAACAGTGTAAATGTCTTTACTGTCACTTTTGATCAATTTAATGCTTCCATGCAGAATAGAAGTACTACTTTCTTGCAAGAAGACCTGTAGACCTACCTGTCAATAGTCCTGGAGAAGATAAGGCTATACAGAAAAAGTATGATTCCATGGCTTCCTTCTTCCTTAAACTACACACATTCAGGTGAAAGTTAATCCAACATAAATGCAAGTTTGATACATAATAATACATCATTTTTGTTTTTAAATGTACCTACACATTGGATGTGCTCGCATATAAATGATCTAACATCATCTTTCTTTTTAAAGGTGAAAAGCTGCAACTGTGGAATAAAAAAGAAAGAAAGAAATTAAACAATTACAATTTTTTAAGCATGTTTTCTTAGCATGTTTTCATAAACTGCATGTACTCTCTCTGTGAAGTTGTCCAGTTTGTAGTCCATGTTGGGGGTGAAACAGCGCTCTGATGCGACCAAGCAGACGGTGGCTGTCTGCTCCTCACCAGCTGTCCACAAGATGTCAGTTAGAGCGGCTGCCAGCGCCTTCCTCTGCTCCTTCTCCCCTACCGTCACCATACTGAGAACGAGAGACAGAAAGAGTCTGTCGGGGCTGTGATACAGTGGACTGTGCAGCACCACAACATTCTCATTTCAGTTCAGACCAATCCAAAATCTTTATTTGAATGACACAAGTGATTTCAACTGCAATATACTGTATGTATATTATCATTATACATTCTTATTATTTATTGTTAATTTGATAATTTTACATTAGATTATAGAAATAGCAATATGTTGGAGCCCTTAACCCCACTACTACCCCAACCATAAATGTGACCCTGGACCACAAAACCACTCATAAGGGTCCATTTTCAAAAACTGAAAGCTGAATAAATAAGCTTTCCATTGATGTGTGGTTTGTTAGGATCGGACAATATTTGGCTGAGATACAACTATTTGAAAATCTGGAATCTGAGGGTGCAAAAAAATCTAAATATTGAGAAAATCATCTTTAAAGTTGTTCAAATGAAGTTCTTAGCAATGCATATTACTAATCAAAAATTAAGTTGATACATTTATGGTAGGAAATTTACTAAATATCTTCATGGAACATGATCTTTACTTAATATCCTAATGATTTTTGGCATAAAAGAGAAATGTATAATTGTGACCCATACAATGTATTGTTGGCTATTGCTACAAATATCCCCCAGCGACTCAACACTGCTTTTGTGCTGCAGGGTCACATCTGTGATGGTCATTCAAGTTTGCAGTGGGTTTCCATGTCCCATCATGTCTTTATTGAATAAGTTCACCCGTTTCAAGATAGAAAATGAATAGGAAAAAAATAAATGTCTTGCAGATGTAGATGCAGACTGCATTTACATCTGCAAGACATATTATTTAAAGTGTTTGCTCATCTGCAATACGTCTATAGGACGTTTCCGATGTCAAATAGACGTTTAGAAGATGTCTTTAAGATGTTTATGATTTAGAATGCATGTAAAACTGACGTCTTAGAGACGTTTATCAGATGTTTGTACACAGCAATCTTTAACAGACATCTTGCACTTACCTGTGCAATCTGGGTTATAATCACTAGTGAAGGTGATTTTAAAGTTATCTAGTCAAGTTTGAGCAAAAATTTGACGATTTGGAGCCATACGAACCAGGTTAATTAGATCTATTTTAGCTTCATGATGTTCTTAATGTTTGTGGTATAATGTTGTCTGTCTCACATTCTATCCTGTTAAATTAAATTACAGAAATCGGTTCAATATTTGAAAATATACTTAAAAGTTGATTTTATAATGCAAGCTAACAGTCAATCTTAAAAAGGCTAATTAGCTCTTTATGTAAATAATCAAGTTAGAAAAAGTTGTGGCTAAGCTTTTTGTTTTTGGTACTAGAAAAATGCTTCCCTAAATTACAACAAACTCTAACAGTACTGTGTGACACGAATGACTAAAGAAATTAGAACATGCTATGAATTAAATTTACGATTTTCAATTTCCCTCAGGTTTTTTTAAGTCAAAGAATTGTAACAGATGCACCCAGATTTAGCTTTCAGACTTTTCCAATTACATTCATGACAAACTACTAAAAATAATTGCACGGACATTTAGAAATTACACCTTTTATTAACAGTCCAGAGTAATTCTGACACTCTTCGTGAAGTGAATTTTGTAGTCAAACGCCATCCCCATATTTTCTACATCACCATCCCATTTGTAGCAGCTCCTGTGTACATTTCCAGATTTATTACATGTGACGCTATATTTAAATACATGGGTGACAAAGTAGTCCCATAAAAAAAAAAGCAGGTAAATTAAACCTTTACTGTTCTGCTCCCCCCCCCCCAATCTAACCTACTTACATATATACTTTTAAAAGGCTTTATTAAAGTGAGTTTAGAGTGTAAAAGACAACAACATAAAAAAGACGACAGAATAAAAGTAGGGGAAAAAAAAAAAAAAACATAT